AATTCGTGGTCCAGGCCCAAAACGTGCCTGGACCACGAATCCTCCAAACATCTGGTCACCAGATGTTTGGATAATTCGTGGTCCAGGCCCAAAACGTGCCTGGACCACGAATCCTCCAAACATCTGGTCACCAGATGTTTGGACAATTCGTGGTCCAGGCCCAAAACGTGCCTGGACCACGAATCCTCCAAACATCTGGTCACCAGATGTTTGAACAATTCGTGGTCCAGGCCCAAAACGTGCCTGAACCACGAATCCTCCAAACATCTGGTCACCAGATGTTTGGACAATTCGTGGTCCGGGCCCAAAACGTGCCTGGACCACGAATCCTCCAAACATCTGGTCACCAGATGTTTGGACAATTCGTGGTCCAGGCCCAAAACGTGCCTGGACCACGAATCCTCCAAACATCTGTCCAAACATCTGGTCACCAGACGTTTTGGGCCTGGACCACGAATTGTCCAAACATCTGGTCATTTCTTTATCATATAGTAATTTCAACCTTAATGGAATTCGTGGTCGAGGCCCAAAGAAAGGATCTAGGGTGGGTTGGGGACATTCTTGATTGAAGGATCTAGGGTGGTTGAAGAGCTATCGAGAGGGTGGCTTGGGGTTGCTCGATACAGGTGTAAGCTGAGCAAAGCATAAACTCTTAGAAAGGATCTAGGGTGGGTTGGGGACATTCTTGATTGAAGGATCTAGGACGGCTGAAGAGCTGCGGTTAAGGCGAGCCTTGGAAGTGATGTATGGTTGCTATCGTAAAGCGATGGCGTGACCGCAGCTTCGGCGGGTTAGGGCGATCTTGTGTTTCTTAACTAGCTCTCTTAGAAAGCTGGATAGCTGTAGTTGCTAGTTGAGGAGATTCAAGTCATGACACTTGACAGCTATGGTTGCTATCGTAAAGCGATGGCGTGACCGCAGCTTCGGCGGGTTAGGGCGATGTTGCGTTTCTTAACTAGCTCTCTTAGAAAGCTGGTCGGCAGCATTAACTCTTAAAGTGAAGCGTGTTGCAAGAACGAGTGTAAAGAAACAGCACTTGCTTGATCGAAGGAGTGGAAAGTTACGATCTGTAATAGTTGTATGTGAGGTTTAGGGTTTAGAATTCAGCAGCTCCGCAACTTTAATCTTTCAGCTGGTTGTGTTGACACCATAAACAAATTAGGGTTTAGCGACAACAGCAACTGGAAGCGTCTGAAGAGAATGTCGACGGAGACCGAACAACAACATTCTCGTGCTGGCCTTCAACCAAGCAGTAGTTGAGTTTAGGGCCTAGGGTTTGACTATAACATCATAGTCATAGAAGTGTGTCAAGCTAAGTTGTAGATAGGTGCTTCGAAGGATGAAAAAAAACCCTCTATTTTCTTAATGTTATGGGATTCTGAGGGTGGGTGGGTGTTATTCTTAAACCATAGACACAACACTACTTTAAAACTGCTCGACCCGGAGCTGCTGAACCCTAAACCCTAAACCCTAAACCCTAAACCCTCAAGAAAGTGATAAATAGAAATTGCTTGTCCTTGTTTGTAACCACCGCTAAGGCCCAGCATTTCGGATAAAACTGGCGTTAGCTTCTTGATAATCCAATTTCGCACAACCACAACTTCAACCATTAACTCAGCCCAACCAACTCAAAACAGCCACCCGATCAAAAACGGAATAAGCTTCTTGATAAACCAATTTCTCCATAACCTCCAACCCAGGCCCACTTTCCAATCCCCCAAATCCAGGTCCAAGCACCAGGCCCTCCAAGCCCAGGCCCCAGACCCCAGGCTCCCAGGCCCACCCCAAATCCAAGCTTCGAAATCCAGCCCCAAGCCCAGTCCCAAATCCAAATCCAGGCCCAATCCCAAATCCAGGCCCCAGGCCCCAAATCCAGGCCCCAGCCCCAGGCTCCAGACCCCCAAATCCCAGCCCCCAAATCCAGGGTTCAGACCCCAAATCCAAGCTCCAGTCACAATTCCAGGCCAGGCCCCAACTCCAGGCCCCATGCCCAAATCCAGGCTCCAGACCCCAAATCCAGTCCCAAATCCAAAATCCAGGCTCCAGACCCCAAATCCAGGCTCAGTCCCAAATCCAGGCACCAAGCCCCAAATCCAGCCCCCGAAATGACCAGGCCCCAGGCCCCAAATCCAGGTTCAAATCCAGCGGCCCCACGAAAGGCCAGGAGCAGGCCACGAAAGGCCAGGAGCAGGCCACGAAACGCCAGGAGCAGGCCACGAAAGGCCAGGAGCAGGCCACGAAAAGGCAGGAGCAGGCCACGAAAGGACACGAAAGGCCAGGAGCAGGCCACGAAAGGCCAGAAGCAGGCCACGAAAGGCCAGGAGCAGGCCACGAAAGGCCGGGAGCAGGCCAGAAAGGCCAGGAGCAGGCCGCGAAAGGCCAGGAGCAGGCCACGAAAGGCCAGGAGCAGGCCACGAAAGGCCAGGAGCAGGCCACGAAAGGCTAGGAGCAGGCCACGAAAGGCCAGGAGCAGGCCACGCAAGACCAGGAGCAGGCCACGAAAGGCCAGGAGCAGGCCACGAAGGGCCAGGAGCAGGCCACGAAAGGCCAAGAGCAGGCCACGAAAGGCCAAGAGCAGGCCACGAAAGGCCAGGAGCAGGCCACGAAAGGCCAGGAGCAGGCCACGAAAGGCCAGGAGCAGGCCACGAAAGGCCAGGAGCAGGCCACGAAAGGCCAGGAGCAGGCCACGAAAGGCCAGAAGCAGGCCACGAAAGGCCAGGAGCAGGCCACGAAAGGCCAGGAGCAGGCCACGAAAGGCCAGGAACAGACCGCGAAAGGCCAGGAGCAGGCCACGAAAGGCCAGGAGCAGGCCACGAAAGGCCAGGAGCAGGCCACGAAAGGCCAGGAGCCTGAGGTCCCTCCCTCCCTCACTCCCTCCCTCCCTCCCTCCCTCCCTACCCTCTCTCCTTTTCGGTGACCTAACGAGCCCTTTTAAGGGCATTCCAATGCAACTGAGAGCATCTGAGCATTCAAATGCCTTCGAAATCATGACAGAAGCCTGTCAGTACGAACATATTGATCCCGGGCATCCTACATCAACTTCGCGATGACGATCCTAGTAGCTACGTAACTACCACTGTTGCACGCCACCAATTTCGCGGCCGCCCCCCCCCCCCTCCCTTTCTTTCTCTCCCGCCAAGCTTCGTGTCAAATTTGGTAAAAGTCTTCGCGTTTGCTGTTGACACCGAGTACATACGTTTTCACGTGAACTTGTTTATGCGACTTGAAAGTCACAATGATGCTACTGTTATCTGCAACTTTTGCACTGAACCAATTTCGTGGCCGCCCCACCCCCCCCCCCCGTAGCCTCAACCTCAGGCGGTCAAAACGTCTCGTCCAAAAGTTTCGACTCGTCTACTCGTCCCTGCTCACGTGATCCTGGGCATCCTACATCAACTTCGCGATGACGATCCCAGTAACTACCACTGTTGCACGCCACCAATTTCGCGGCCGCCCCCCCCCCCTCCCTGTCTTTCTCTCCCGGCGTTTGCTGTTGACACCGAGTACACTGCAACTTTTGCACTGAACCAATTTCGTGGCCGCCCCCCCCCTCCCCCCGGGGCCCCAGCCTCAGGACAGTCAAAACGTCTCGCTCAAAAGTTTCGGTCGAAACGTTTCGCAGCCCCCCAGCGAATCTGAAAACATGGTTCGCAAAAAAAAACTTTCGTTCAAAACATTTCGTTCAAAACGTTTCGGTCAAAAAGTTTCGTTCAAAACGTTTCGTTCAAAACGTTTCGCCCAAAACGTTATTGGGACCCAAACCCTTAACAATTTCTATAAACCCTAAACCCTAAACCCTCTCTCTCAAATGAGTATTTAAATGTTGAGCCATTTTTTCGGCACGGACCCCCCAATGTTGAGCCAATTTTTCGGCATGACCCCCCAATGTTGAGCCAGTTTTTCGGCAGGACCCCCCAATGTTGAGCCAATTTTTCGGCAGGACCCCCCAATGTTGAGCCAATTTTTCGGCAGGACCCCCCAATGTTGAGCCAATTTTTCGGCAGGACCCCCCAATGTTGAGCCAATTTTTCGGCAGGACCCCCCAATGTTGAGCCAATTTTTTCGGCAGGACCCCCCAATGTTGAGCCAATTTTTCGGCAGGACCCCCCAATGTTGAGCCAATTTTTCGGCAGGACCCCCCAATGTTGAGCCAATTTTTCGGCAGGACCCCAATGTTGAGCCAATTTTTCGGCAGGACCCCCCAATGTTGAGCCAATTTTTCGGCAGGACCCCCCAATGTTGAGCCAGTTTTTCGGCAGGATTCCCCAATGTTGGGCCAGTTTTTCGGCAGGACCCCCCAATGTTGAGCCAGTTTTCCGGCAGGACCCCCCAATGTTGAGCAGTTTTTCGGCAGGACCCCCCAATGTTGAGCCAGTTTTTCGGCAGGACCCCCCAATGTTGAGCCAATTTTTCGGCAGGACCCCCCAATGTTGAGCCAATTTTTCGGCAGGACCCCCCAATGTTGAGCCAATTTTTCGGCAGGACCCCCCGTCCCACAAGTGTTGCACCAGGTTTTCGTCAGGACCCCAGGGTTTGGGCTCTAGGGTTTAGGGCCTAGGGTTTGGGCTTTAGGGTTTAGGGCCTAGGGTTTGGCCTTTAGGGTTTAGGGCCTAGGGTTTGGTTTTGGGCTTTAGGGTTTAGGGCCTAGGGCTTTAGGGTTAGGGTTTAGCGCTTGGGCTTTAGGGTTTAGGGCCTAGGGTTTGGGCTTTAGAGTTTAGGGCCTAGGGTTTTGGGCTTTAGGGTTTAGGGCCTAGGGCTTTAGGGTTAGGGTTTAGCGCTTGGGCTTTAGGGTTTAGGGCCTAGGATTTGGCCTTTAGGGTTTAAGGCCTAGGGTTTGTTTGGGCTTTAGGGTTCAGGACCTAGGGTTTGGGCTTTAAGTTTAAGGCCTAGGGTTTGGGCTTTAGGGTTTAGGGCCTAGGGTTTGGGCTTTAGTGTGTCATGCTTCTTTCTGTAAGGCAAAAAAGATGACACATATCCGGCCTGAAATGTGTCATGCTTTTTCTGTAAGGCGGAAAAGATGACACATTTCCGGCTTGAAATGTGTCATGTTTCTTTCTGTAAGGCGGAAACGATGACACTCTGCAAGGCGGAAAAATGACACATTTCCGGCCTGAAATGTGTCATGCTTCTTTCTGTACTGCAGCAATAGAAACATAAGTATATGCTAGAAATCAAGGCGTAGGGTTTGAGGTTTGATGTCGTCTGAGGGTAACGAAAAAATTTTTCTAACTCTTATGTTTTGGGATTCTTTGGGTGGGTGGGTATTCTTCCAGGTTCTTACTAGCGAACTTGACTAGATACTGCTCGACCAGAGCTGCTGAACCCTAAACCCTAACCCTAAACCCTAAACCCAAACCCTAAACCCTAAACCCTAAACCTGAAACCCTAAACCCTAAACCCTAAACCCTAAACCCTAAACCCTAAACCCTAAACCCTAAACCCTAAACCCTAAACCCTAAACCCTAAACCCTAAACCCCTAAATTTTAGAGGCTGCGCCTTGTGTTGAACGGCCTTTAGCGGCGCAGCCGAGGTGCGCCAGCGCAGCAGTTGGTTGCGAAAGTTGTGGTATGTGAATGCCTTAACCCGGCCTGAAGCTTGGGGACATGCACGTCAATTTACTTAAACCCCGCTTTCGGGTATGTGTATTAATCTGTTGGACACCCTGCTTAAAGCTGTGTATGTCAATTTACAGAAACCTCGCTTGAGGGCTATGTATGTCAAGTTACTGAATTCCGATCTTGTCCTATGCATGTCGATTTTCTTAAGCCCCGCTTGGGGCTATGTATGTCAGTTGACTTAAACCCCGTCTGGGCCTGTGTATGCCAATTCACTTAAACCCCGCCCGGGCCTAGGTATGTCAGTTGACTTAAACCCCGTTTGGGCCTCTGTATGTCACTTTGCTTAAACTCCGCTTGGAACTGTCAATGTACTTAAACCCGCTTGGGACTATGAGTGTCAAGTGATTCAAATCCCGTTTGGGCCTGTGTTTGTCAATTTACCTAAACCTTGCTTGGGCCTGCCCATTCGTTCCGTATCTTGAACAGCTTTTTTCCAACAATCAAACAAAGACATTCTATGATGATTACCAGCATAGAAATCAATAGATGTATGCATGTATATTCCCTTAAAGATGTGTTCGAACCTATGCACAAGTATATATGTATACAAATACATGTGTATATATATATATATATACATATATTATGTACGTATATATATATATATGTATGTATATATATATATCACATTCATACATGTGTATATATTCACATTCATACATGTGTATATGCCGAGTTGGGGTCCTCGGAGATACGAATTCATGTCATGCGTATACATTAATGCATATATATATATATATACACACACAGATACCTTGGCATATATATATACACATGTATGTATCTAGATATGCAGATAGCTGAAAAACATGTACATATACATATATAGATGTACCTCTAGTTCTGGAAACAAATACAAGAATACATCTGGCAACAAATACAGACAAACACCCAACTTGAAATATATATATATATATATATATATGTATTATTATAGATACAAGTGAACATTTACATTTAAGCATGTATACAAATATGTGTATGTATGTATATATATATATAAAAATGCACACATAAACAAGTAAACTAGAGGTATACATATGGTTTTAATTAAATGTGTAAGTAGTAGTACAGACAAACAAACAGCAGATACGCAGAAACTGTAAATCTACATTTAGATACACATGTAAACGTGAACAAACAAACAATACAAATGAAAAACATCGTCATGGAAACAAGTCTAGCCATAGGTCTAAGTATGCATGCAGATAAATATATAGATGCATGTATGAGTATAGACTGTATAGACACAGATAAAGACATAAATATAAGTTTCGGTTTCAATTGGAATATAAAAATATTTAGATTTCATCTGACCGTGTGCATGTATGAAAGCAGTTACACTTTGAAATATTTTCGCCTCGGCCGGTGGCTTCCGCCCCCGAAGATGTGATTATCTACAAAAATAAAGCATAAACATGGATATAGGCTTGGATACAGGTTCAACAATGCGCGCATATACATACATATGGATGTGCATATATGGTTAGAGACCCAGACAAAAAGATACAAGCACGATTTTGTTTTTACGACATTTAGCTACATATTCCACCTCGGCCGGTGGCTTCCCCTCCCTCACCCTTTCTCCTTTTATGTTCTGGAGAGGGAAGCGCACAAATTTTCGTCGGTTGGGTGGGTTGGCGAGGCAAGTAGGAAGGGGCCAGGGAGTGGGGGTGGGGGAAGGGGCAGGAGGTTGGGGCAGGGGGTCGGACAGGGGGGGTGGAGGTGCAAGCGCGACCACAAAAAAAAATTGGAGGGGGTCAGGGAGGGTGGAAGGGGCAGGGGGTCGGGTGGTGGGGGTGGGGCAGCAAGCCAAGGGAGGCAGGGGGGTGGGGACGTTACTAAGGGCTTAATAAGTGCTTAATAAAGCTTTAATAAAGATTTAATAAAGCTTTAATAAGGGCTTGAATAAAGTTTTAATAAGGGCTTAATAAGGCCTTAATAAGGGCTTAATGAAGCTGAAATAAGGGTTTAATAAAGCTTGAATAGGGGCTTAGTAAAGCTTTAATAAGGGTTTAATAAAGCTTTAATAAGGGCTTAATAAAGGCTTTCATAAGGGTTTAATAAGGCTTTAATAAGGGCTTAATAAGGCTTTAATAAGGGAGCTCAGGTCTCGAGCTTCGGGGCTCGGGGCTCGGCGCTCGGGGCTCGGGGCTCGGGGCTTGGGGCTCGGGGCTCGGGGTTCGGGGCTCGGGGCAGGGCTGGGCTCGGGCTCGGGGCTCGGGGCTGC